GAAAAAAATTAAAAACCTTATTTAAAAAATAACATAAAAATATTCAGCCCTTAAATATGGTTTTATATATATATATAAATATCAATTTAACACTGAAACATTTTCTCCCAAACTATAAAAGTCTTTTGAATTATATTTTTTGCGGAATTCATTAAAAATTATAACGATACGCTCACAACAAATCCAAACAGTTCGTTTTCTTCTTCTTCTTTTTCGGTAAATTCGGCCACTAGGGCCATCCCGACATACATCCTTGCCTCCAATTTTCTCTATTCGCTGCCTGTATTCTCCCGTCAGTCCCTCCTCCTAACGCTTTCACATCATTTCTAACTACGTCTTCCCACCTCAGACGTGGTCTTCCCAGTGATCTTTTTCCAGTAGGATTTTCTTCTAACACTATGCGTATGAGTGGGTTATGGCTACGCTAAGCATGCCCAGCCAATGCCGATCTTTTATTCTTTATTGTTTCGAGTATACTAGGTTTACAGAAGAGTGTTTCTAGTTCATCATTTTTCCTTATTCTCTATTCACCGCTTAGCATGTCTTTTACTGGTCCAAAAATCTTTCGTAATATCTTTCTTTCCAGAACTAAGAGTTTTCGTTCATCACTTTTCCTTAATGGCCATATCTCAGCTCCATAAGTAATTACCGGTCGTATTAATGTGATGTATTTTTAGATCTTTTGAAAGTGATCTTGATCCCAATAATTTCGCAAGACCATAGCGGCATTTATTTCCTGATTGAATTCTTGCCCCTATTTCTATTTCGATTTCATTTCTCTCTGAGAGTATACACCCTAGGCACTTAAATTTTTTTGTTCTTTTAAAATTTCGGTTGTTGATGTTGAGCGTCGCATATAATCCCATGGTGTCTCGCCTTCCTACCACCATATATTCCGTTTTTTCTTCATTAATGTGAAGTCCAACTTTCTGTGCTGCTTTCTCCAGCCGATTTAAAAGAAATTTTAGTCCATCTTGTGATTCCTCCATGATCACCAAATCATCATCTGCATAAGCCAGCAGTCCTATGCAAGATTTCTGGAATTTAACCCCTTCATGCGGTGTAATATTAATTTCCCCTATTACTTTTTCTACCACTATATTAAATAAGATTGGTGACATRGCGTCTCCCTGTCTTAAACCTGATTTGACTAATATTGGGTCTATAATTATGTTTCCAACTCTAACTTTGACAAATGTCTCCAAAATACTTATCTCAATCAGTTTTTATAAGCATGTCCTCAAAATGGAATTCTCTCAAGATATTGATAAGGCTTTCTCTGTGTATGCTATCACACGCCTTCTTAAAATCTATGAAAAGAACATGTATTTCTCTATGAATCCCCTTGTTTTTAAAACAGTTCGTTTTAGGAATATAAAATAATTAACTCCTAGAATATACTTAGAAAAAGTGGAATATAGTATAGTCAAGTGTCGTACGAAACTGATGACATAACAAAAAAAAAAAATATTATGATATATCAAATTTTAAGATATAACTTATCTTCTCTAATAAATTAAATCAAAAAAAATTGGATTTAAAAAATCGATATTTTATGTTTTGAGAATTAATCAGAAATACAAACACGAAAATATTGATTGAAACTAAGAAAAATTAAAAATATTTCGAAAAATTGCTCAAATAAATATTAAGTAAACAGTTATTCAAGTACGCCAGTAATTAAAGGAGAAGATCTAAGAAAACTCATTAAGATAGTATCCACATTTGTTGTATCTGCCTATTAAATGCATAACAYACCAAAATAATATCCTGGTTTTTTCCCGATTATTCCACTATAACCAGCTCTTTAGATTTTATATGTTTATTTTCACGATGCCCTAAAGGAAAGAAATCTAGTTTATGTGATTTTTACCGATTTCTAGAAAGCATTTACTCGGTTGATCATATCTTCCTTATCTACATACTGGATAGGTTAGGCATACGATTTCGACTTCTGTCATGGATCCAATCTTACCTGGTGGGGTGATGGTAATATGTTAAGTTGTTTAATACTTCATYAAATAAGTTCAATGTTACTTCTGGAGTTCCGCACAGTGGACATTTATCTACTCTTATATTGGACCTCTTTGTTAATCCTATCTTTCATAATGTCTCGTCCATCTGTTTACTTTTTTTTTCTGATTAATTTACTATGCATCTTTGAATAAAACAACATTTAAACGTTTTTTCAATCATTTTGATTAGGAAAATGAACAATTATCAATGTTCTTAAAATTAACAAAAGTTCGTAAACAAACTAAAAAAAACGAGGATCATTAAACATTGGAGCTATAAATATTTTCACAAATAATTTTACAAGTGCGAAAAAATGTCTTTCTATATGAAAAAAAAAATATGAAAATCGAAAAATAATGTAAATAAAAATGAATACGTGATGACAATAAAACTACAAGTAGAATAAACCACAGTCAACCGAAATGTTGACACTTCAGTTCCAGGCAGAATAACTAAATACGGTATAGAAGGTCTACGAAACGTAGGAAAATCATTCACACAAAAAGTGTTACCAAGCAACATAGCTGACAGTGGAAGAGACAAATAGGATTGTATGAAATGCCAACAAGCAGTATAAAAGAGAACGTCAGTATCAGAAACACGTCAACAACAGGAAAATGGAAATGCAGAACCAGATTCATGAATACTCAACATTCAAGATAAAAAGTAGTATTTATTGCATTTGAAAAACCTCAAATAAAATAGAAATATTAAAAATATTGATTTGAAATATACGATTATGTCTCAAATAATAATTAAGTAAAAAAACACAGCAATTTAAGTCAAGTATAATCATTAAAATATTTGGTATAGAATAATGTAATTAGTGTATATAATCACTGTCAATATTCACATATTTGAACGAAATATGCACCTACGCTTCATCAAACACCATAATATGCACTTCTGGCAATGTTTTTTGTTACACCATGCATTTAAATAAGCAACGCTTTTCCTTAACATTATGTTCAACTAATACTTACTAAAAGTAGAAGGGATAATATTATGAAAATCCTTTTAGAAGGTAAGATGAAATGATTCTGTGTCTTTTAGTTAAAATCCATCGCCCACGTCAGTATGCACGGCAATATATTTTTACAMTCTTAGATACTACATTCATTTAATTTTTCAATCTAACCTTCTATCATCCATATKAAATTTTATCATTAAGTCTTAAAGATTATTCACTAATAATAAATTAGCATAATATAATTGAAGTATCGTATTTACTTATTACTAGCTTAATCAATTCACTCCGTTTCTTGTTAAAATTTCAAATATATGATATTTATATAGGTATATATATATCGTATAGAAAATCTAATCAACTCCTCAAATATATATCTATAAATAMACAATCTTTACTCTTTGAACAGTAACTAAAAACTATGAGTGATGTAAGTGAATTGAATACAGTACCTACAAATTTTACTCACACTTATTGATCACAGAATARTACTGAGTGATTATACTGAAAATAACTTAACAAGCACATTCCTTCAGAATAGCAAAATAAAACTATTAATCGACTTCAATGACGCTAGGATGAGTAAACGCATAATATGCACACTTAAGGTCCATCATATCGTATTTCTTACTCCAAACACTAATTTACTATTTAATTTATTTTGAATAGCTGTGGTAGTCGTGGATTCCTCCTTTTAGATGGACCACAAAAATACCACCGTTATATACGTACATTTGAAAGGATTAGTATACACCGCGWCTTGGGTAGATATTTCTTCCTCATGTTAAAAATAGGTAAATAATATATTTTTATGCTAAGTTCAATTTTTTTATTCGTAATCGTGATTTATTTTTCGTCACGATGTTATAATTTTGAGTTACAGTACCTAGGGTTTTCTCTAGCAAGCAATGCATAATATAATTACGTAACTATARGAACACAGCTTTTTTAATCATAATTATAAAAAAAAAAAGAAATTGATCGACAAAAACCCAAATACCTCTGCATACCAATAACAATTCTGAAAATGTATATCACACCTATTATTAGTTACACAGTCACAGCATAGGCACCCTACGTCACTAAATTTCAATTTTGACAACTCTGTCGAATCTGGTTAAACAGTTGCAATGTAATTAATGATAGACATGCCAAAATTTTTTTCAGGAACGATGTTAAACATATAGAGATACGTAAGCAGAAATAAAATCAAAGAAAATATAAAAAAACAATCACAGACAATTTTTCTCACTAATCAACAATCCATCTACAAACATATCCTGTAATCATTAGACCGTAACAAAACAGACTAAATTCAATCAAAAGTACTGAGTCCACTCTCATGGGCCTTTGTGGATTTACCTACGATAAAAATAAAAACGTCCTACTAATAGCAAAGGCCACTGGTATACAATAATTGGCCCCAGGTAATTCCAACAAAACAAATTAAAGCTGGACAAGTCATTATCTTCATAGGTATCTTCCAAGCCGTCAATTTCGACTACTGTACGAAGACTAGCACCGAAGCTTGAAGCACAGCCTGCCACAGTTAAAGCGTCAAGTGATTATAATCAGATCAGTTTCGAGTAAATTGAACTCACTCGGCCAGACATGAAATCAGATAGAAACCATCGACTGAGAGTTTCCAACGAAAACCAGCTCTCCTCTAAGCCAAGAATCACGTATTGTGGAAACTACCGACCTAGGAGTACTGCTGAGTTTCGAGTGATACTGTACACCTGACCAAAAAGAATGACACACTGAGAAGACAGCCGATTGAAATCTACTGCGGATCYATCGTGTTCCAGAGCCTTTCGATCGGAGATTGAGAAAATTACCAATCAAACTTTGAGTGACAAAATTCCTCTGGTGTTCATCGTATCCAGTGAATTGGTCGCCAGGATAATTGATCATCAAACGAACATTTTTAGTTTTTTAGTTATTTTATTAAAATTGTTTACGCCTAGATTCAATTTTTAATTTATTATTAATAATTGTCAATAGGTGTCGGTATTCACACCACTTCAGACACACACACA